TGACTCAACCAAATGTGGATGAAACTGATTCAGAGAGAGCTGGAGAGATGGCTTAGTGGATAAAGTGCTTACTGTACAAGCGTAAGGACCTGAGTTCCAGTCCCCAAATCACTTGCAAAATTGAGGTGTGGCTGTGCACACCTGTAACTCCAGACTGGGGTGGAGAACAGAGACTGGAGAATCCCAGGGCTTCCAGGGCCAACCAGCCAGTCAAGCTGAAACAGTGAGCTTCAAAGTCAGTGATAGATCCTGTCTCAAAAGCAAGGCAGAGGCCAGATGTGGTGCTGCACATCATTAATCCCAGCACTCAGGAGGCAGAGGCAGAGGCAGAGGCAGAGGCAGAGGCAGAGGCAGAGGCAGAGGCAGGCGGATCTCTGTGAGTTTCAGGCCAGCCCGTGAGATCCTTCTCAAAAAGGAAAAAGAAAAAAGAAAAAAAAAAAAAAAAAAAAAGCCAGGTGTGGTGGTGCACTTTTAATCTTAGCACTGGGGGGGGGGGAGGGGCGGGCAGAGGCAGGCAGACCTCTGAGTGTGAGGCCAACCTGGTCTACAGAGTGAGTTGCAGGACCGCCAGAGCTACACAGAGAAACCCTGTCTCAAAATCACTAAATAAAAAGTTTAAAAAGAAAGAGAGAGAGAGAGAACGAAAAAGAATAGAAAGAAGGCCCCAACAACAGTACTACTAAGGTGGAGAGGGCTGCAAGATGGATTATTGGGTAGGGACACTTGCTGCCAACTCTGACAGCCTAAGGAGAGAAGCAACTCCTGACAGTGGCTCTCTGACCGCCATACAGCTGCCCATCCCCCACCGCAAAATAATAAATGCAAAAGGACATTCTCTAATATGAGGTGTAGAGTGATAGACACCTGACATTGACCCGCAGTCTCCATCTGTGTGTGCATAGGCAGGTGCACCGACTCAAGAACTGTGGCTAAGGTGTTCTCTGAACACCACCACACAACTGTTAATACAAGACAGGAGCTGGGCACAGTGCTTCCCACCCACTGCTCCAGATGCAGGAGGCTGAGGGCAGAGGATCACTTGAGTCCACAGGCTGGGCTGTCTGAAGGCAAATAAACACAACCTTGTGTTAGGCATTAAGTACTCTACCAACAACTTAAACAGAAGGGACTTGGGTGTGGCTCAGAGGTAGAATACTTGTCTAGCATGTGCAAGGTCCTGTGCCTGCCCCCGCCCCCAGAGCTGCTGGAAGAATAAATAAAACAGGACATGGGAGGTCATGTTATGTATACAAATGCCGTATTTACGCATTGGTGCACCTTGGTATGCATGGGCATGCAGGAACTTGTCTGCAAGTGCACTGAGGCATAACTTAAATCTTTCCACAGCAGAGACTGAGGGGTATCTGGGAGCCATGATCCCTCTACCTCACTCAGATAATGGCGATATGGGTGCCTGCAACACTTTCCTCCCCTGTGTGCCGGACTCCCCCACCCATTACTCCTTCAGGCTCTGCTGATACAACCTCAGTAGCCTACACCGAACTCCCCCAACTCCCCCAGCCCATCTTGAGATGACATTACCATACCCCTAGTGCTCCTGGCCCTGAACCCACAAGTTCCACCCCTTTTCCTGACACCTCATGGCCCATCCATCAGCACAAAATTCAGTCCCCATCCAAATTATACCTCCACCCGGCTCCCATCTGCCTCATTCCCTGATAGGCTGTTCATACCTCCTGCCTGGGTAACTGCAGAGCCTAACTTGCCTCAGGGGTCTCCCCAACCCAAAACTTCTGCTGTGGTTTGAATCTAGAAATGTCCTCCGTAAGCTTATTGTTAACCCTGGAACCTGAAACTGAGGCAGAACTTTGAGAAATGATTGGCTCATGAGGTTCTGACCTTGTGGATGGACTGATCCGTTTATGTGTCCAAATGAGATGGGTTAGCCAGACTCAGTATTGGAAGTGAGATGTAGTTGAAAGGAGTAGATCTTTGGGGTGTGTTCTTAGGAATGACATCTTGTCCCTGATATCTGTCTCTCTTCCCCTTCTCTCTGTCTCTCTCTGTGTGTCTCTCTGTGTATATGTGTGTCTGTTTGTCTGTCTGTCTGTCTCTCTCTCTCTCTCTCTCTCACACACACACACACACACATCCAATCCTTTTGCACCACCATGAGGTAGCTTCCTCACTCCACCTTGCCCTCTCTGCCATGACATTCTACCTCATCGGAGCCAGGCAACCATGGGCTAGGACTTCTGAATAACCAAACTAAAAAATTTCCTCTTTTCAGTTGACTCCCTCAGGCATTTCATCATTGCAACAGAAAGCTCGATAACACACCACCCTCCCCAGGGCAGCCAAGTGGGCTTTGCTGGGCTGATTTTCCACCTGAAACTATTCCATGGTCTGCCATCACACTCAGAGTAAAAGCCACCGTCCACATAGAAGGCCTGCAGGCCTCTGGTACACTGACCTCATTTATCTCAACTCTCTGTCACTATGCCACACCCTCTGGCTGACCTTGACATGGATGACAAACACTGTGTCCTGAACATAACAGGTGTCCAGTGAATAGTGAACCAGGGGCTGCTGTTGCCAGACTCCTTCCTCCCCTTGCATTGTGCTTGGGGTGGGGTGGAGTTGGGGGACAGGGAAATGAATCTTCTAGACCTCCAGGGGCTCAGTCTGGGTCCACACCCATCAGTAGACCATCACAAGCTATGCAGGATTTTTGTAATAAGCTGTCACACACAGGGTGACTGAAGAGCAACAGAAATCTACTTCCTATGGTTTTGGAAGCTGAAATCAGGGTGCCCTCCCACAAGGCCGGGGCATTTTGAGACTCAGTCCTTAAAGTTTTTCATGGCTGGAGCTCTCAGGCCTGGTACTTAAATGCTCCTCCCCCTGACCCAGATGCCCATCTTTTTCTCAATAGATCGCTCATGTAGCCTAGGTTGTCTTCAAAGTCACTGTTGCTCAAGACAATCTTGAACTCCTGATTTTCCTGCCTCCTCCTCCTGAGGGCTGGCATTACCAGCATGTGCCACCATGACAGAGCTGGACTCTTTTAGAAGGACACTGACCCCGGTGGTGAGGACCCCACCTTTAACAGCCATCACTCCCAAAACTCTAAAGGCCCCACCCTGATGCAGGATGTCCTTCTGTATGCTACGAATATGTGTTGTGCTTATTGGTTGATGAATAAAGCTGTTTAGGTCAATGGCCAGGCATAATAGAAGCCATGTAGGAAATCCAGACATACATATAGAGCCAGGCAGATACCATGTAGCCGATGGAGAAGCAAGGTGTAAGGCAATAAGCCACAAACCTCATGGTAAAATATAGAGTAATAGAAATGGGTTAATTTAATTGTGACAGCTAGTCAATAATATGCCTGAGCCATTTGGCCCAACAGTTATAATTAATATTAAGCCTTAGAGTGTTTATTCAGGAACTGGCAGCTGGGAGAGAAACCTCCATTACACCACCCTAATATCATCCATTGAGAGTCAAGACTTCAACATATGAGCTGAAGATGAGGGGCACAGACATGTATTGTTCTACAGTTCCCTGGGAAGAAGAGTCTAGTCAGTAGGGCTGTCACTAGCCTGCCTCTGTGTGTGTGTATGTGTGTCCTTCTTTCAGCTGTAGGTAACTTTCTTACCATAAATGCCCTTGAGATCCTCTTCCAATGATGAGGGGTGAGCTGGGACTTGTTTTGCACATCTCAAAAGGGAAATCATCTAGGTATGTGGTTCAGAAAATAGAAATGGGTCATTTGAACCCAGACCCAGGGCAGGCACAGTTCCTTTCCATAGATGCATGAGCACAGGCAGACCTGGTACCCTTCCAGCTCCCTGTATGACCTGTAAACTCTTAGGCTTGCTCTGTGACTGCCTGGTTCGCTGGTTCATCTTCCTACTGATCTGGGAACCTGTAATTACATTACACTGTTCAGTATTCATGCGCTATTTGAACTTACTATTTGAATTCTGGAAGCTGGCTGGTTCCCCCATCCCGTTTCAGATTCCAGTGTGATTGTCTAGAGAATCCTCCAAGGCCCCCTGTCTAGGGATGGGCTGCCCTCTAACAGTGACAGGAAGGATGGAACAACTAGGACACAAACCACTTCCACAGGGTTACTACTGTTTATCTCAGTGTATAAAAATGCCTGCAGTGGGAAAGGGTGGCTGGAAGTTCAGCCTTGGAGAGAAGGGCCAGTTGGGAGCTATCCAGATGACTGCCTCAACTTGCCCAGTTTCTGCTGGATTCTGTGAGAGCCCAATTTGATGACATCATCTCACTGTCTTGCTATTTGTTCTTTCACTTGAAAGCCTCCCCTGAAGGGGTCCTCTACTCTGCTCAGGGCTCTCCCTGGGAAACACTAGCTGGCTACTTAAAGGTCTTCTTTAGCCAGTTCCTGCTGGTTAGTTTGAGTACCTGATTTGATAATATTTTACTTTCTATCTACCTATCAATCATCTATCTACCTATCATCTATCTATCATCTATTTATCCATCATCTATCATCCATCTATCATCTCACAATCTATTTATCATCTATCTATCTGTCTATCAATCTACTTTGGTATCATTTAACTATCTATTCATCATCTATAATCTACTTATCTTCTATCTACCATCTATCATCTATCCATTCATCCATCCATCTATCATTTACCTATTATCTCTCTCTCCCTCCCTCCCCCTTTCTATTTAGTCTTTTAACTGAGCTTGCTATCTACTTTATAAACTCACTCACTCTAAATTGAAAGCAGAGGTCCTTCTCCAGAAGGTACAGAACAGAGGCCATGATGATTCCCTCAGGGAAAGTGGTTTAGGAAGCTAGGTCAGGCTAGCCTTTTAACAGCCCACAGCCCATTTAACAGATGGGGAGACTTGGGGTTGAGAGCTGAGTAACTCACATGCTCTCACCACCATAGTTTTGACAACAGTTTCTCCACCTCCTGAAACCCAGTGTCTAACCCCTCAGTTCCATGTCACTCACATACCCATCCCCTACTTGTGCTTTCATTCGAGACATTGTCACTTAAGATTTTATTAAGCTTTTCATGAAGTTGGACCATCAAGCTTTGTTTCACCTTTGGTCCAGTCAGAGAATAAACACCATCACTGCACACTGAAAGACCAGGCTGAGAGGAGCCCATGACCTGGGGCTGGGGTTTCAGTCTTGGAGCTTGCTGGTGAACACCTCGGCTCTGTCTAGGGGTGGGCCCCGGTTCACAGATGTGTAGGAAGGTTCAGAGGTCTTGGGGACAGCCTCCTGGGTGATCTGTGAGTCGTGTGCTGTTTCCCCATCAGAGCTGCCCATGTCCCTGAAAGAGAGAGAGAGAGAGAGAAAGAGAGAGAGAGAGAGAGAGAGAGAGAGAGAGAGAGAGAGAGAATGAGCACCAGGATTAGGGGAGCAGAGCAAGCCTGGATCCCTGCAGCTGCTCAGGGCCTTAACTTTGACAGTACATTGCCTTTGAGGATGTGATCTCCAGTGTATTTGGAGAACTCATTGTATGTGCGACCTTGGGAATAAGGGAGTGTCACCCTTCTTGAAATTATGAGGATAGTTTCATGTCTGCAAGCTGGAGCATTGGAGGCCATTGTTCCAGGTCCTCAAAGTGACCTGACGTGCCCAGGTGGATGGCTTCCTGGAGGAGGGGGCAGATGCCCTGATCCTGAAGGAGCATCATGGGTAGAAAGAGGGGCACATGAGATGAAACAGAAAGGGAGAGAAAGGCATGTCACAGGCCAGTCGCCAGCCCGACAGTGACTTTTGTTGGCTGCTGTTATTTTTCATAGGTGCTTTCTTAACTGAAGTGTCAGGGGACAGTTGGATTTCACTGCCCTTCTCTGAGCCCATTCTAGGCTGGCTAACATCTAGGACCCAGTTAATTTCACCTACCCAGACAAGCTTCCCATCTGCTTTCCCACCCTTACTAGGACTCCTGCAGGCTTCCAGGACCTGTAGTTCCCTCCGCTTGGTGGGGCTGGGCTGAGCAGCATACTGCTCGGGGCTGGGATCCACTCCTGTGTGAGGAGCTTGCTCTTGCTGAGCCCTCCTCCAGGAAGCCAGCCTGCTGCTGCTTCAAGCTCTTTTTTTCCTGTTGCTTCCTGATTCCCCAGTGAGCATACTGCAGGCTTGGGGAGGAGTGTGCTGATTCATGCCCTGCTCCACCCTGGCAGGCTACTGCAGTCAGACACCATGGGTTCTAGGCCCAGGCTTTGACCTTGAGATATCTGCCCCACCACCAGGCCTCAGCTTCCCCACCTGAGTGGGTGAATTAAATAACAGCTCCCAGGCACTGCTCTGAGGGCATCACAGGGCTGATCCCAGGTGACCATTATCACTCTGTTGTGCATATTATTTTCACTTTCATTTTTCCAGATGGGGAAACTGAGGACCTGGATGCCTTGCTGAGGTCACATACACAACTCCATCACAGCTAAAACTTGCCTTTTTTTTTTTTTTTGGTGGAATCTTGGGGGTGAACCTTGACTGAGCCTCCTGCATACTAGACAAGGGCTACACTGAGCTACACTCCCAGCCCAAGAACTGAGATATAAATGGGCCCACTGCCCACAAGCTGGGATGCACCTGAGTTCTTCCTTCCTTTGCCTTGGAGAAAGACCTGACCTTGAAAGCTCAAGACTCTGCTTGCTTTCACGGGTCATGGCGGGCAGTCCCTGGCTTCCACTCCCTGCCCTATCTCAGAGGACCCCGTGCTGAGTCTTTCTTGGGGAGGGTGCTGCCCTATCTCCAGGCTGGCAGTACTCACACAAAGCTGAGGATGATGGCTCCGGCGAAGCCCACGAGCAGGAAGAAGGGTAGGGAGCCCAGAATGGAAGTGATGACAATCATGCCGCCACTCCGCCGGCCTGGCCATGTGTCGATGGCGGAGTATGGGGTAGCTGCAGAAGACCACAGCCATTTACTTACCAGAAAATGCCCCTCCCTGAATCTTCTTCCAGGGACCTACTACCCGGGGCAGTAAATGCTCTTCCCAGGCCTCTCTGATGGCCTCTCTGCATGTCTCTGGTTACTTCCTCTATTTGCATAAGGTTAGTTCTATACTAATTCAAGACTTCTGGTGACATGGGTGGCATATGTATTCTAAATAAAGTTGAGCAAAGGGCTCAGAGGGGATGTGGCTCTCGAACTTTCTGGGTAGTGTCACTCTTGGGAACAACGAATAGGTCCTACAGTGAGCAAGCGATTTGTGGCATTGTCTACACAGATCCCTGGAGACCTGACTCTGAGTTCACACTCCACTCTGGTACCCCAGCTCTAGGTGGTCCCATATGCGCACCAGCCCCCAGAGGCCAACCCATAGGACTGGCTCCAGGAGTGCTGGGTCTGCTGATGCCACCAGAGTCCCTAGAGGGATTCTGCCAAGCTAGCCAGACAAGGAGGTGCAGGTGCCCACTGTGTGAGGGATAGAGGCCAAGCTTAGAGCCAGGACTCAGCTCCAAGGATCTCAAGGCTGTTTCAGCAAGACCACAAAAAATGGGAATGTCACAGGAGGTGTGGCAGGGAAGGAGCATGGGTGGGGTCACCCAGCAACACAACACAGATGAGCCGCATATATCCACATACAACATACAGCAAATAAACTACACTTGTACACACTACACTCATTGCACACTCATAGATGTTGCCACACACCATGTACTCCACAACCACAGACACAAGTAATTCAGTCACACCCACAGCCATGTACACTCACACACTCACTCATTCACCCACCAAATTACCTCGCATTCCTCCATGTCCCTCACTAGTGTGGGAACTCAGGTAACTTTCTGGGGCCCTGGCCTGCCTCACACGGCCCTAGTTCTGCTGGGGCTGCAGTAGGAGGCAGAAAGTTTCTGTGCTGGGGTCCCACACAGTCAGGATCATCATGAGAGCCCTGGTGGGACTAAGGGGTGCAAGCATGACCTCAGTTGCTCTACAGCTTCCTAGCCCCTGCTGCCTGCCTCAAGGGTACAAAGGGCTCAGAGTAAGGAAAGACATGGCTCTTCCTGAGTTCCTCTACTTAGTGTCCAGTCTGTGGACAATCCTGTACTGTCATAAATGTTTGCTATTGTGAGGTTCCACATCTCTGGATCTAGACAGGTAACCTTAACTTTAATACACCCAACCTGGACCAATCTCAAACATGGAAGAGTGATGGGAGATGTCATTCTGTAAATATGTTTCTCAGACTGGCTAATGAATAGAGCACTGTTGGCCAATGGGAAAGGAAGATAGGAGGGACTAGGAGACAAGGAGGAAAGAGGAAGTAGTAAGGAGGAGTCAAGATGGAGAGACCTGGTAGACCAGACGTCTGCTCCACTCCCCGGTAAGGGGACGATGTGAAAATACATAGATCAACAGAAATGGATTAATGCTTAAGACAGAGCTAGCCGATAAGAAACTAGTACCTGGCCAACAGCATTATATCTAATACAGAGTCTCAGTGTGTTATTTGGGGCTGGCGCCGCAGCAGGACAAGACCGGCGGCGGGGAGGAAAAACTTTACTCCTTACAGAAGAGGGAAGGGATAGTTCATAGATGGAAGTATCTCAAGAAGCATTGTATTAAGCAGCACAATAGCCAGTTGCTTGGGTGACTTTCCCCAGGGACAGCCAACTCTCCTTTTAATCAATCCCTGACCCTATATTCCTGGGGTCCTTAAGGAGTATCCCAGAACTGACTTGCCACCCCCCCCCACCCTCCAGCACACACTTACGCTGGTTGGTACGGATGGGATCTGACCATAGTGTTTGGTCCTGCACCAAGCCTGTGGACATGTTGACCAAGACATATTTGAACCTGGAAGAAGATGGATTAAGAGCGACTTTCATCTATCCTGTGTGTCCAGACACAGGAAACAGGAAGGAGGAGACCGGGGGGGAGGGGGGGGGAAGGGAGACACAGGAAGACTTCCAGGAGACTGCTATGGGTGGGCTCAGGACAAAAGAAGGTTGCTGGACTTGACCACATATTCCCTGGATCCTTCTCCAGCTTGGCTGCATCTGTTTTGGGAAGCCTTTTTGATTGGAGCTATTGTGCAACATTCCTCTGGGAGTACCCCTTTTGTTCTATGCACCTGTAGCACCCTTGTTAGTCCATAATCCTCCTAGCAGCTCTGGCCCCTGGGAGTCAAAAAGAGAATTAGAAAGCTATCCTGTTTTCCCTTAGGTCAGGGCTGTTTTAGGTGCAATAATCCTCAAACAAGGGCTACTAATCAGAAGGGAAGACAAAGCAAGATGGTAAGATCTATAGCCCAGTTAAGTCCCAGTTTAAACAGTAGATTGGATAGACTGATAGTCTGAGATGAGAACTAATTCATCTACAGACTGTAGCTTAGTGACCCTTAAAATTAAAGCTCTCTTAGGGACTGGGACTATAGCTCAGTGGAAAAACACATGTTCAGCATGTGCAAAGCCATAGCAATACACACACCCTTCATCCAGGCAGTTCAGGAGTTCAAGCCTAGTCTGGGCTACATGGATGCCTATCTCAAAACAGAAGAGGGGATGGGGAGGAGAAAGGCAGGGAGGGAGAAAGCAAGGAAGGAAAGAGGGGAAGGAAGAGAGAATGGGTTCTGAACTGTGTTTACAAAGCAAGGTGCCAAGCAGGGTCCTGTTGGGCCTCTGTGTACATGCTACAAACCAGGAAACCACCCTGCCTGAGACCTGGCCCCAGTGCCAAGGCTCTGAGAAGTATGGCTTCCCCCATTTTGTCCCCTCCTTGTGTCTCCTGTCCTCCCATGGCCACTTAGACCTACCTGTACTCAGTAGCTGCTGACAGAGGCGGGTTGCAGAGGCCCTGGAAGTTGGGGTCCCAAAGACAGGTTCCATTGTTGCCCACCCTGACTAGGTACGCATTCAGGATCTCTGAGGCCTGGGTCACATCTCCAACAGCATCCAGGCTAGGCAAGTCACCACAAGGGGTCAGGTCAAAGGCTGCAGCTTTGTAGGGGCCCGACCTCCCACCCTGGCTTTGCCGGAAGGTGGTGCTCAGTGGAGTTCCAGCGCTGTTCTGTACAGACACATTCCTGGAGCTGGCTGCAGAGGCATGCTAGAAGTCAGGACCCTGGTCATTCCAACTGAGTGGCAACCCTCAGTACCCATCAAACAGGCCAAATCTTCCCAGGTTGGTTCCGGGCACTAGGATGATTGACACATAAGCTCAGTGGTAAATGTACAGCTGGCCCAGGAGCACTTCACTGTGAGGTGTGGGTTCATCTCCCACTCACTCTGTCTTGCAATGCCCTTAACCCCCAGAGCAACAGACCCCTGCCACCTGTAGCTGCCAGCCCTGGATTCTTTCCCCAATAAAATGGAAAGGGGTGAGATGATGCCAAGGTATAAATTGTTGGACTTGGACCAATCGTTTGACATTTCTGACCTCTGGACTTCTGTGAAATGGCAGTAGAATACTCCAGGGTTTCCACAGACCGGGTGCTCACTGGCAGCAATAGAAGCCTGATGCTAGGATGGACTGTTGGGAAATGTCAGGAGGCTGTTACTGGGTACCTGATCCCCAAACCCAGGAGCTTGCATAGAAGGGCTGTGGGCTGGGTTGGAGATAGCAATCCTGGGGAAAAACCCGAAATGACCTAGATTCAAAGGTCAGTGAGATCAGAATATAACTGTAAGAGCCCCAGAGAGGGAGCCCCCACATCCCTGCCCTGATCCCATGCTCTACAGTAATAACCTGCATGCTGCTTGCAGACATTGGCTCTAAAATGGGCAAGGCAGCTTGTGCTAGGCAGGCATTCAGAAATTTGTGCGTCTCCTTCCACCAGCCTGGATGCCAGGGCAAGTGCGGGTCTGGGGCCACAGCCACAGTGGTGTCAGTGTGTCATGGGCAGTGATGAGCAAAGGGGTCCTAGACTTACACAGACATGAAATGTCCAATCACTCAGCTCCCTCCTCCTCCCTGTGAACTGTCAAGGACCCTTTTAGAGGAAAACGGGTTCCTTACCTGAGTCGACCATGGCATAGAGGTAAACTTCGTAAGTGCCACTGAGTGGCTCTGAGCTATCGAACATGCAGAGAGGTTTCTCCAAGGCCACGGTGGTGAGGGTGGGGTTGTTAGTGGCAAAGGTCACACTGGCCAGTTGAGGCTGGAGGTTCACAGCTGGTGAAGGTAATGAGGGTGGGAACTGACCTCTGGGCATATCCCTGGGCACAGGCATATTCCAGCACTTGCATGTCCTGCACTGAGTTTGACCTTCCCAATGGACCAATCCACAAACTCTCAGAGATAAATCAGTGCTCCTGTGCCCACCCTGCTGGCCACCCTAGCCAGACACATCCCTATCCCACCCCAGCTACTCACTATCCATCCCTGTCATCTCTCTCTCTCTCTCTCTCTCTCTCTCTCTCTCTCTGTCTGTCTGTCTGTCTGTCTGTCTGTCTCCCAGGGCGCTTCCCTTCCACCCCACTCTCTCTTCCCTTGAACCCTCTACTCCAGCAGGCAAATTGCTAAGACACTTTGCTGCTCCCCACAGGCCTCCCACATAGTGCAATCTCTCAGGAAAAGTGATAAAGTCCAGAATTTCAGGGCTCTTCCATATAACTCTAAGCTTCAACCCCTGCACATACCTGCCTCAGCCACAAGGATCAAAAAATCAATCCCAGGATGGGCCATCCTTCCCACTCCAGGAACTTTCCCCTCCAGCTCTCCCAGTCCAAGGGGTTGCCAGGAGACTGGGTCTGCCCTCTGCAGTCTTGTATGATGTTCTCTGGCAACCCCTCAGAGGGTTGAGGCTGGCCCATGGATGGGCTCTGGGATTCCTATGTTGGCTGTTTTTCTTAGTACAGCATCTGTGTCCCTATGTCGGAATCAGCGCCTATTCCCTAGACCTCCTAAATAAGGTTCCCAGTGCCACTCCATGTCTCTGCTCCTCTCGGGTCTCCCTGAACACTTCCCGGTGTTCTCATCCCCTGCTTACTCCAGCCACACCGCAGGCATCCGAGGGCCAGCAGGGCCCAGAGCAGAAGCATCGCCCAAGAGAGAGGCTCAGCAACACGCTTCAACCAGCAAGAGCACACCCTGCCTGGTGCAGCCAGGAGCACCTGCCACCAGCAAGGGCGCGTCCCGCCCCTCTAGGGCGGGCCAATCCGAAGCCTGCCAGTGTGATATTTGCATACAGCACAGGGCTGGGTTCCTCCCACTAGTGCGTTCTAGGGACCATCAACCAAGGTTTCTGACCATCTCTATGCCTTCCCCCAAAGCTCCTACTGTATACTGAAACTGAGCTGATGCTTTCACGTTGTCATCTGAGACATCCTCACTTTTGTAACCTCAATTTGTATACTGTAGAGACACTAATTCCGACAAGTTTGAGCTCATACTAATAAAATTAACAATCATAGAAAAATGAAGTCCTGGATGACAGTTCTTTTCTGTTCACAGACCGTGCAAGACAAGAGAGGCTGAGAAGGGCAGGAAACTGTGGGACCAGACCAAGGGCTGTTGCAGATGAATGGAATAGGATCTTCAACCCCTCACTGCTTCTCATGCAACGAACAATAGAGATTGTGGGCTGGAGTACCGCTCAGCCTTAGATGCTTGCCTGGGCCAAATAATACCTCTCCACCAGCAGAACTGAAGTGGGAGGGGGATGAGAAACCCAACTCTTTTGGTGGTGCCTCTTCAACTGATGGATCCTTCAAGATGAAGCTGAACATCTGACAGCCATGGCTGTCAGAATTCATTGACAAATGGAAATGCCACTGGTCCTATGAGAAGCATATGGTCCCAGAAATAGGGCTGGTGCCCTGGGTAAAGAGTGGAAGGATTATGGGCTCCAATCAATGATGGGAGCAACAAACAAGGTTTTCTTATGAAGAAGGTGCCTTGAGAGCTCCTGCTATTCTTGTTATGAACCAAGGAGAATGAGAGAGAGGAAGTTCAAGTGTGTTCAGATGCCTTGTGGAAGGATGCCAATCCAAATTCCAGAGAGAGAGAGAGAGAGAGAGAGAGAGAGAGAGAGAGAGAGAGAGAGAGAGAGAGAGAGAGAGATTTGGGCTGACAGATACTTCAGTGCTTCTGCTGTTGGTGCCCCCAAAGAGCTAGCAAAATCTGCCAACTTTTGATCTCTCTAAAGAAGATGATGTCCACTGGTGTGCTGTCAGGAAGCCCTTAAACAAAGAGGGTAAAAGACCCAGAACCAAAGCACCAGAGATTCAACGTCTTGTCACTCCACATATCCTGTAACACAAACACCAACATATTGCTCTGAAGAAACAACACACTAAGGAAAACAAGGAGGAGGCTGCAGAATGTGCTAAACTTTTGGCTAAGAGAATGAAGGAAATCAAAGAAAAACTCCAGGAACAGATTGCCAAGAGGCGTGGGCTGTCCTTGATGAGAGCTTCTATTTCTGAGTCCTGCCAAAGTTAAGTCTTTAAGAGGAACAGGTAGATGATCAGACCTTGAAAAGAGCAGAGATAAATGATGGGGTCCTCACCTAAATTAACCACTTCCCTCCAGTGTCAGGAGTCTGTGCACATCTCCAAATGCATAATAAATCAACTTTGCATGTAAGGTGTATAAAATGAACAAGTATGGGTGGAGGGCTGTACATTAATAAAGTATGGAAGGGAGAATATGTTCATCTGCATGGAAACTGAGTCTGGGTGAGTTTGAAAGCAGCTATTTCAGGACCTTCTTGGAGAAAACTCTAAGAAAAAGATTCCTGAGTAGAACCCAGGTACTGGTAACTTGTTGGTAGTGGGGAGGGAAGGGGAGGGAAATCCTACAGTAACTAGCACTAAAGCTGTGCCTTCTGGAGAATGGGGGAGCTTTGGAATGGAGAAAAAACTCTACAGAGAAAAACAGGACAAGGAAGATGGGCCCGCTGGTAAAATGCATACTTGTAATCATGAGGACCTGAGTTCAAATCCCTGAAACCCTGTAAAAAGCCAGGCACAGCTAGAATTCCAGTGCTGAGGATGGAGAGACAGAAGAAGTCCTGAACAGCTAGTCTTGTCAAGATGAGCCCCAAGTTCAGTGAGAGACTTTCTCAAAAAAAAAAAAAAGTTATATAGAGGAAGACACCTGATGCTGACCTCTGGCCTGCACTTGCAAATACACATGCACATGCAAATGCATACAAATACACATGTACAAGCAAATACACATGTACGTGCAAATGCTTACCACACACACAAATAAATAGCACAATGTTGGATTTTTGTTTTGTTTTGTTTTTCTTAACCTTTTCTGACCACTTAAAGAGCCTACTTTCTTTACTACTCCTCTACCATCCAACCCTCACCCCTGCAAAGTAAAAATGCTTACATTCTAAAATACTGGTAAAGGCCCCCTTGGAGAGGGACTGACTCCAGCCAGGCTGGGATGGGCAAGGCAGGAGGAACTGAACTTTTGAAATCCATTGAAGAATGGTGGACACATGTCAAAGGAGCCAGTCTAGACCAGCTTGAACAGGTACCCATCACCCGATCTGAGGAACTTTGAGCACAAAATAAACAAAGGTGGTAATATTTTACATTTAGCCCATTTGATAAAATAGTTCATGAATCAATACTGATTCTGTACACAGATCTAGAGATATGCGCTTAATGCAGTGATGTAGCCAAGCATGGCTGTACACAGGACAGACAGCCTGCATGTGCTTCCTGGACTTACAGCATCCAGGACTCAAGGCACCGACTCAGCCGATTCAGTGTCTTGCTCTCAAAGTTTAACTTGGGTCTACTTGGCAGGAAGCAAACAGACAGATCCAGACTGAGGGTCTGCCTGCCAAACAATCAGCCACACTACTTTGCAAATGTCAGTGTCATGAAAGAAAAAAGACAAAGTAAAACAGAAGCTGAGAGTTGAGGCCTACTGCAGGGGACTAAAGGCATATAGTGTCTACAGACACCAAGCAAATTTCTGGGTTATTCATCTAAAAACAAGCAACCTATCCAGATACAGTGGTATGTGCCTGCAGTCCCAGCACGTAGGTGGAGAAGTCAGGGGAATCTCAAGTTTGAGGTGAGCCTGAGCTGCCTGAGCCTCCCAATCCAAAGGTTGGGACTGCAGATCAATGGTAGAGCAATTTGCCTAGCATGCACAAGGCCCGGCTTCTGCCTCTGGTGCCACACAGACACACACACAGAGCAACACATAGTATGCACTATTACAATCTCTGTAATAAGGTAGATGCATATTAAATAACAATAGTGCAAAAGAGTTATGTTTCAGAGCCAGTAAGATGGCTTGAGCAGTGGGTAAAGATGCTTGCTGTTGAATCAGGGTCTGATTCCAAGCATCTATATCTGCCAGGGATGCAGATATTCCTTATTGATTGATCAGGGTGGGTTTTCTTTCTTTCCTTCTTTCCTTTTTTTTTTTTTTTTTTTTTTTTTGAGACAGGGTTTCTCTGTGTTGCCCTGGTTGTCCTTCCTGGAACTTCCTCTGCAGATTAGGCTAGCTGCAAACTAACAGAGACCCACCTGCCTCAGAGTGCCATATGCCACTGCCAACACCACCTAGCAGGATTCAGATATCTAAATTGAGGCTTGTGTCCTTCACTTTGACTGCAGGGCTATCAGAACAGTGGACCCCAAGGCACTGGAATTCCCCTAGGACTCTCACTTTGGGAAGAGAGAAAGTTCAAAGCCTGAGCTGATAGGAGGGGACATTTGTCTCCAGGAAAAAAGTCCATAACATGTCAGCCTACCTTATAGAAGACAATGATGGGCCAGTGGTGCCTGAGACTAGAGCTTGACCCAGATTGCTTAGCTCTGTATAGCGATGGCCTCTACTTAAACTCTAATCTCTCTCTCTCTCTCTCTCTCTTCAGGACCCCTAAGATGAACCTAGAACCACTGAATCTCTGACCCTCTACCCACTATTGTCATGTTGAATAATTCTCATTTTCTGCCTTTCAGTGTTAAATTGGCAGCTTTAAATGCCTTAATCAATAACAGGGGCTTGACTCTGCCTTGTGGGGGGTACAGTCTGTGTTCCCAAATCCAGTAATAGTAAAAGGAGAGAACTGCCTCCCACTACACTACTGTGACACCTACATATACCTCTTACCCCAAATAAACATTTAAATAAATGGGAAAAAAGTTTAAGACAGGGTCTCACTATATTACTCTGGCTGGCCTAGAACTTGTGTTGTGGACCAGGCTAGCCTTGAACTCAAAGAAATCCATCTGCTTCTGCCTCTGGAGTGCTGGGATTAAAGGTGTACACCACTAAGCCTGGCATAGAAAAATAATTTTTACCTTGTTCTTCTGAAGAAGTTCAATTTTTATAGTGATGATGAGGTCATGTAAAGACAAGACACACTGAAGGTACAAGGGTGAAGTGCCCCGACTCAGACCGGAAGAGAGAGAGGATAAAGGAAATGTTGCGCCTTGTCAACAGTTGTAAATGGATATGGGTTTGCACACTGCTGTTCTCAAAGCATTCCTACAGGCTGGACATTCTCAGTGTAAGAATGTTGTGGGGGAAGGGCTGGGCACATAGCTCAGTGCAGAGCCCTTGTCTAGCATACATGAGACTCTGGGCTCACTTCCAGCAATACAAAAGAGACAGGGGTATGCTGGGGAGAGTTCTGTGCTCTCCTCGCTCTGTGAATAGGGTGGAAAGCTTATCTTGGGCACCTAGAAAGTCCCAGTGACAGCAGGGGCGGGGTTTCCTGCAAGAGTTTTTATGGGCTGGAATTTCTGGCTTTGTGAATGTTTGTGCACCTGGGTTTTTACCAGGGGTCCTTGAAGTTGATCTCACTGGTAAGAGAGAGCAGGCCTGCAGTCCCTTGACTTCTCCAGGCCCTGCTGTTTCCTATGAGAAAAACAAATGCAACATCTTTTCATCTCCCCCTTCACCCAAATAAGGAGGGAGCTTTGTTGGGGAAATATTGAAATAATAATCCGCCAAGGCTAAACATCATGCTCAGAAAAAAAGAAAGAAAGAAAGAAAGAAAGAAAGAAAGAAAGAAAGAAAGAAAGAAAGAAAGAAAGGAAGAAAGAAAGGAAGAAAAAAGAAAAGCCTCCGCCCTCCGCCGGTTTTAGTCAGGTCTCGGCTTTAAAGCCTGCTGGCTTTGGAGC